AAGCTCTAATTCGTTGATAGCTTACCATAGTTTATCCATGTTATAAACTGAGTTTGATGTTCTCTGGTTTGGCCTTTACAGAAGTTTGCATTATAATCTATTTAATCAAAATATTTTCTTGACGTCATAATTCAGGCTGCTGAGAAGTATGTGAGGTGATAGGGGGGCGTTGGATTGGGGTTCTGGATACGAGAGTGCCCTATCCACTTATGATGGCCTACTTAAGAAAAGTCTTTATAAGGACAATGGTATTATAGTTTGACAAAAACGAAAATTACAACTTGATCGGCTGTTGTTCACCAAAGGCACGCGTCATGAGGATCCTGTTTACCGTATACATGCTCTTCACCCTAATTGGGGTAAGCTGTAAATTATGTTACACATGTTTTAACTGTATCAACGTATACAACTAGCGAGATCGAATACTCAGTAACACGTTATTGAATGTCTTGGAATTTGGTAATTTAAATAGGATTTGATTCATTGTATAAAATTGGGAGAATTTTCTATCTTTATTAAATTATGACTGAGCGAATGGTTCTGTTGCAGTATTAATAATTGATTTTTTCAACAACTTTTTTATTTTCAATATACATATAGTCAGTCTAACACGAACATCGTAAAACAAAGTCAGTATATCATACTCACTAAATACATTTTGTTTTATATTGTTAATTGTGAGATTATATTTTGTACAAGCTCTCTCTCCCCCCCTCTCTCTCTCTCTCTCTCTCTCTCTCTCTCTCTCTCTCTCTCTCTCTCTCTCTCTCTCTCTCTCTCTCCTGCGGTATTAATAATTGATTTTTTCAACAACTTTTTTATTTTCAATATACATATAGTCAGTATAACACGAACATCGTAAAACAAAGTCAGTATATCATACTCACTAAATACATTTTGTTTTATATTGTTAATTGTGAGATTATATTTTGTACACCTTCGACTGAGTGTTCTTTTCCTTTAAACTAGTAATCTAGCCACCTATTTCTACTACACAGTTGAGAAGCTCGTTACTCTACAATTGTATAGAGTTTGTTTCAAGTCATTTCTGCTCTTCCCTATATCCACTTTATAGTAATGATGACTATATTTAGTATAACGAATTGAACTTCTCATTGTTTTCCCTGGAAACGAAACGTCATCATTTCTTTGGATATTTGAATTCTGTGGCCTAAAACAACCACAGCCACTGAATTACCAAACGTGTTTTAATTTTTTTTTCACATAGCACACAAAAATGACATGTTCCGTTCGAATTTCCAAACTTACATATTCTAGATGCTGTGTTTACAATATTATGGATACATTTCCACGGATATTCTCTCATTTGGTTGTTATTGTCAATCCAATGTTTTTCTTAATCACGCTACATTGAAATAGTTTGTGAAATTGGAATTCCCATTTAATTTGGCCATCTGGCTTGTTCTCGTCCAATTTCATCATCAGGATTTTAAGTTTTAATTTTGTTTAAATTTCATCTTCTTACGATTCTTATCAATCAAACAACAGTTAACATCTATTTTAGGATAACCACGTGATACTATTTGGTCTTCATGCATTCTCAATAATTGGAACATTTTGTTTGAAAATGGTTGTTTCATTCTAGAGAGTTCCGCCATGTAGTAACGTTTTATCTATCAATGAATTCTATATTTCCTATCTTCTCTGAATTTTTTCCTATGTCCAAACATCATAAATTGTACATAATCCTCTTTTCTTAGATGAACAGAAGAGATTGTATTGAACTGTAATAAATGGTTAAGAAAACGAACTGTTGAAGACATCCAATGTTACTATCTGGTAGATTGGATTTTCGTATCTCGGACCATGCCACTATTATAGATTTATAGAAATCTGAAGTATTTGCCAAATTAAGATTCTGTTTATCATACAATTTACATAGACAATATGGAACTGTTTAGATTCTGTCTTTCGGAGTATTTACATAGACAATATGAAACTATTTCGATTCTGTTTATCAGACAATTTACATAGACAATATGGAACTATTTAGATTCTGTGTATCAGACAATTTATATAGACAATATGGAACTATTTAGATTCTGTGGTTTAGACAATTTACATAGACAATATGGAACTATTTAGATTCTGTTTATCAGACAATTTACATAGACAATATGGAACTATTTAGATTCTGTTTATCAGACAATTTACATAGACAATATGGAACTATTTAGATTCTGTGTGTATCGCACAATTTACATAGACAATATGGAACTATTTAGATTCTGTGTGTATCGCTCAATTTACATTGACAATATGGAACTATTTAGATTTTGTGTATCAGACAATTTACACAGACAATATGGAACTATTTAGATTCTGTGTGTCGGGTTATTTACATAGACAATATGGAACTATTTAGATTCTGTGTATCGCACAATTTACATAGACAATATGGAACTATTTAGATTCTGTGTTTCGGGTTATTTACATAGACAATATGAAACTATTTAGATTCTGTTTATCAGACAATTTACATAGACAATATGGAACTATTTAGATTCTGTGTATCAGACAATTTACATAGACAATATGGAACTATTTAGATTCTGTTTATCAGACAATTTACATTGACAATATGGAACTATTTAGATTCTGACAATATGGAACTATTTCAGACAATTTACATAGACAATATGGAACTATTTAGATTCTGTGTGTATCGCACAATTTACATAGACAATATGGAACTATTTAGATTCTGTGTGTATCGCACAATTTACATAGACAATATGGAACTATTTAGATTCTGTGTATCAGACAATTTACACAGACAATATGGAACTATTTAGATTCTGTGTGTCGCACAATTTACATTGACAATATGGAACTATTTAGATTTTGTGTATCAGACAATTTACACAGACAATATGGAACTATTTAGATTCTGTGTGTCGGGTTATTTACATAGACAATATGGAACTATTTAGATTCTGTGTATCATACAATTTACATAGACAATATGGAACTATTTAGATTCTGTGTATCGCACAATTTACACAGACAATATGGAACTATTTAGATTCTGTGCGTCGGGTTATTTACATAGACAATATGGAACTATTTCTGTGTATCGGACAATTTACATAGACAATATGGAACTATTTAGATTCTGTGTATCATACAATTACATAGACAATATGGAACTATTTCTGTGTATCGCACAATTTACACAGACAATATGGAACTATTTAGATTCTGTGAACTATTTAGATTCTGTGTGTCGGGTTATTTACATAGACAATATGGAACTATTTCTGTGTATCGCACAATTTACATAGACAATATGGAACTATTTAGATTCTGTGTATCATACAATTTAGATAGACAATATGGAACTATTTAGATTCTGTGTATCAGACAATTTACACAGACAATATGGAACTATTTAGATTCTGTGTGTCGGGTTATTTACATAGACAATATGGAACTATTTCTGTGTATCGCACAATTTACATAGACAATATGGAACTATTTAGATTCTGTGTGTATCGCACAATTTACATAGACAATATGGAACTATTTAGATTCTGTGTATCGCACAATTTACATAGACAATATGGAACTATTTAGATTCTGTGTATCATACAATTACATAGACAATATGGAACTATTTCTGTGTATCGCACAATTTACACAGACAATATGGAACTATTTAGATTCTGTGTATCAGACAATTTACACAGACAATATGGAACTATTTAGATTCTGTGTGTCGGGTTATTTACATAGACAATATGGAACTATTTCTGTGTATCGGACAATTTACAAAGACAATATGGAACTATTTAGATTCTGTGTCTCGGGTTATTTACATAGACAATATGGAACTATTTCTGTGTATCGCACAATTTACATAGACAATATGGAACTATTTAGAGTCTGTGTATCATACAATTACAAAGACAATATGGAACTATTTCTGTGTATCGCACAATTTACACAGACAATATGGAACTATTTAGATTCTGTGTATCGCACAATTTACAAAGACAATATGGAACTATTTAGATTCTGTGTATCATACAATTTACATAGACAATATGGAACTATTTAGATTCTGTGTGTCGGGGTATTTACATAGACAATATGGAACTATTTAGATTCTGTGTGTCGGGGTATTTACATAGACAATATGGAACTATTTAGATTCTGTGTGTCGGGGTATTTACATAGACAATATGGAACTATTTAGATTCTGTGTATGAGACAATTTACATAGACAATATGGAACTATTTAGATTCTGTGTATGAGACAATTTACATAGACAATATGGAACGCTATGATCTTCATCGAAGGAATATAACCAATGTTTTCCAATTGCATTGAAAGTGGCATTTCACTTTTCATTATTGTATAAATATATTTCTACACATGTGTGAAGAACACACGATCTATTTACACTGTTTCCTTATTTCTCAGATTTGCGGTGGGACAGTTGTGGGTACCATTGAATTTGTACGATATAGCAACCCAACATATCAGACTTTAGATGGTAAATGCTGCGATACTTATGGATCTGAATGTAAACCTAAGGATTGTGATGTTATCATCGAGATAAGTGTTGACTCATTGTTTCCATCAGGGTAAGTATACGTGGACGCTGTTGAAACTGACGTAATTCGAGAAATAAATACAAGGGTATACGGTAAAAAGATAAATATTGATTAAATAGGATTTGCGTTTATATATGTTATCGATTGATATCTTTACGATAAAATGCTAAATTTACAGGTAATATATATACTGGTGTTTTAACAGGTAAACACTTTTTGACACGAAAACGATAGAAACGTAAATAACGGATCCATGACAATAACAGGAGATAAAGTGTCCAGTTAATTTGTAATATCAATCAAAGTACAAGAGTTTACCCGTATTTATCTGATATAACCCCATTGTCAAATTATCATTTCATTAACATATTCACTCTAAGACACTTGTTTTTGGTAGGCAATGTTATGGAAGAGGAGTTATGACGACGACCGATGAAGATGAGATTGTATTTGGAAGTAGTATTGGAGATCTTAAGAATCCTTTGAACTTCACGATTGAGGTAAACATTCTTTTTTTTTCATATATACTACTTTACCCAATAAACTTCATACATTACAGAATGAAATTATTCATGATTTGTTCACACAGAGAGGAGGAGGAATATCTATTACGATAGAGGCCTGGGAAGATGACACCTTTTGGCATCCTGACATGGGATTCATAAACAAATCCTATACTAATATCACGGGGGCTGGTTCAGCGGCTGTCCGGAGAAACGAAACGTTACAGGGAGGTAAAATAAGGTACGAGGACTGTTTTTAGGGCATCACTGTTCGTGTAGGCTTTCACTTTATATATCATATCCACAATATCTAATATAGGTATACAGAGCACGCGGTCTACAGAAAGTTTTTAAACCTTTGTAGTTCAAAGCTGATGTTTACGTAAACAGAGAAACATGTTTTCTGTGATCGATCAGTTTGCGACTTTATAAAATAATTTTTACACGTAGTTATGCTCAATAATATTGAACTTACACCGTGTATAATCTGCTGTGTTTGTTTGATTTCATTTCAACAAAACTGTGTTATACAAAACATACAATTTGATAAGATAGCAGGCTAGGTTTATGTTAATCATCTCCACTTATAAATTAAATGGAATCAGATTTAAATAAATAAAACCATTCAAAGAATTTATAGATTTATCAATATTATGAGATAACACTTCTTACAGTGATAATTGGTTAAAGGGAGGTAATGGCCTCCATCAAATTACCGGTATATCCCGGAGTTGGTATTGTGGTTATTTGTTTGCTGAGGTACTGAACGGGTATCTACTCTTAAATCTAGCATCACTAGAGTTTCTAGCAGAAATGTCCATTATCTTTTCTGTAGAGTCGACATAGTATTGAGCTTTGTGTGTGTGGAAGACTGCTGTGAGGACCCCGATGGCTGTAATACATCTCACTCCAACACAGATAAAATCTGTCTCTCAGGTAATATACAACCATGTTCCAGAACATATCTCTCAGGTGAATATATCACTGTGTAACACAGTCTCTCTCAGGTAAATATATTAACTGTGTAACAAAGTCTGTCTCTCAGGTAAATATATCACTGTGTAACACAGTCTGTCTCTCAGGTAAATATATCACTGTGTAACAAAGCCTTTCTCCCAGGTAAATATATCACTGTGTAACAAAGTCTGTCTCTCAGGTAAATATATCACTGTGTAACACAGTCTCTCTCAGGTAAATATATCACTGTGTAACAAAGTCTGTCTCTCAGGTAAATATATCACTGTGTAACAAAGTCTGTCTCTCAGGTAAATATATCACTGTGTAACACAGTCTCTCTCAGGTAAATATATCACTGTGTAACAAAGTCTGTCTCTCAGGTAAATATATCACTGTGTAACACAGTCTCTCTCAGGTAAATATATCACTGTGTAACACAGTCTCTCTCAGGTAAATATATCACTGTGTAACACAGTCTCTCTCAGGTAAATATATCACTGTGTAACACAGTCTCTCTCAGGTAAATATATCACTGTGTAACAAAGTCTGTCTCTCAGGTAAATATATCACTGTGTAACACAGTCTCTCTCAGGTAAATATATCACTGTGTAACACAGTCTCTCTCAGGTAAATATATCACTGTGTAACAAAGTCTGTCTCTCAGGTAAATATATCACTGTGTAACAAAGTCTGTCTCTCAGGTAAATATATCACTGTGTAACACAGTCTCTCTCAGGTAAATATATCACTGTGTAACAAAGTCTGTCTCTCAGGTAAATATATCACTGTGTAACACAGTCTCTCTCAGGTAAATATATCACTGTGTAACACAGTCTCTCTCAGGTAAATATATCACTGTGTAACAAAGTCTGTCTCTCAGGTAAATATATCACTGTGTAACAAAGTCTGTCTCTCAGGTAAATATATCACTGTGTAACACAGTCTCTCTCAGGTAAATATATCACTGTGTAACAAAGTCTGTCTCTCAGGTAAATATATCACTGTGTAACACAGTCTCTCTCAGGTAAATATATCACTGTGTAACACAGTCTCTCTCAGGTAAATATATCACTGTGTAACACAGTCTCTCTCAGGTAAATATATCACTGTGTAACACAGTCTCTCTCAGGTAAATATATCACTGTGTAACACAGTCTCTCTCAGGTAAATATATCACTGTGTAACACAGTCTCTCTCAGGTAAATATATCACTGTGTAACAAAGTCTGTCTCTCAGGTAAATATATCACTGTGTAACACAGTCTCTCTCAGGTAAATATATCACTGTGTAACACAGTCTCTCTCAGGTAAATATATCACTGTGTAACACAGTCTCTCTCAGGTAAATATATCACTGTGTAACACAGTCTCTCTCAGGTAAATATATCACTGTGTAACACAGTCTCTCTCAGGTAAATATATCACTGTGTAACAAAGTCTGTCTCTCAGGTAAATATATCACTGTGTAACAAAGTCTGTCTCTCAGGTAAATATATCACTGTGTAACACAGTCTCTCTCAGGTAAATATATCACTGTGTAACAAAGTCTCTCTCAGGTAAATACATCACTGTGTAACACAGTCTCTCTCAGGTAAATATATCACTGTGTAACACAGTCTCTCTCAGGTAAATATATCACTGTGTAACACACTGTGTAACACAGTCTCTCTCAGGTAAATAATATATACTGTGTAATATATCAGTGTAACACAGTCTCTCAGGTAAATATATCACTGTGTAACAAAGTCAGTCTCTCAGGTAAATATATCACTGTGTAACACAGTCTCTCTCAGGTAAATATATCACTGTGTAACACAGTCTCTCTCAGGTAAATATATCACTGTGTAACACAGTCTCTCTCAGGTAAATATATCACTGTGTAACACAGTCTCTCTCAGGTAAATATATCACTGTGTAACACAGTCTCTCTCAGGTAAATATATCACTGTGTAACAAAGTCTCTCTCTCAGGTAAATATATCACTGTGTAACAAAGTCTGTCTCTCAGGTAAATATATCACTGTGTAACAAAGTCTGTCTCTCAGGTAAATATATCACTGTGTAACAAAGTCTGTCTCTCAGGTAAATATATCACTGTGTAACAAAGTCTGTCTCTCAGGTAAATATATCACTGTGTAACAAAGTCTGTCTCTCAGGTAAATATATCACTGTGTAACAAAGTCTGTCTCTCAGGTAAATATATCACTGTGTAACACAGTCTCTCTCAGGTAAATATATCACTGTGTAACACAGTCTCTCTCAGGTAAATATATCACTGTGTAACAAAGCCTTTCTCCCAGGTAAATATATCACTGTGTAACACAGTCTGTGTCTCAGGTAAATATATCACTGTGTAACAAAGCCTTTCTCCCAGGTAAATATATCACTGTGTAACAAAGTTTTTCTCTCAGGTAAAAATATCACATTGTGACAGACACAAAGCTTTGTCAAATATATATGGATATGTTATATCAAGAAGTATTACCAACAAGATGAGAAAACGTCACATGAAGATAATCATTGAGACATCCATTATAAAGAATGTCAGTCATAGTTTAGATTAATTGTCTGTTTTAAGAAGTTCAGTTACAATGTAAATGGAAAGTGGGAACTTGCTTCCTCAAATTAATCTATCGCATAACAAGTTGGTTTCTTTAGGGCGAATATTGGTCACTTCGTGGGGAAGACTTCCTCACTCAAAGTAAACCATCGCATATCGGTCACTTCGTGGGGAAGACTTCCTCACTCAAAGTAAACCATCGCATATCGGTCACTTCGTGGGGAAGACTTCCTCACTCAAAGTAAACCATCGCATATCGGTCACTTCGTGGGGAAGACTTCCTCACTCAAAGTAAACCATCGCATATCGGTCACTTCGTGGGGAAGACTTCCTCACTCAAAGTAAACCATCGCATATCGGTCACTTCGTGGGGAAGACTTCCTCACTCAAAGTAAACCATCGCATATCGGTCACTTCGTGGGGAAGACTTCCTCACTCAAAGTAAACCATCGCATATCGGTCACTTCGTGGGGAAGACTTCCTCACTCAAAGTAAACCATCGCATATCGGTCACTTCGTGGGGAAGACTTCCTCACTCAAAGTAAACCATCGCATATCGGTCACTTCGTGGGGAAGACTTCCTCACTCAAAGTAAACCATCGCATATCGGTCACTTCGTGGGGAAGACTTCCATACTCAAAGTAAACCATCGCATATCGGTCACTTCGTGGGGAAGACTTCCTTACTCAAAGTAAACCATCGCATATCGGTCACTTCGTGGGGAAGACTTCCTTACTCAAATTAAACCATCGCATATTGGTCACTTCGTGGGGAAGACTTCCTTACTCAAAGTAAATCATTGCATATTGGTCACTTCGTGGTCACTTTCTGACTAAAGTTAAACCATTGTTTTACATGTCGGTTTCTGATTCGGGGTTAGGATTAAATGGCACAAAGTGAACATGCTGGTTTCTATGATGGATCGGGAACTTCTTAATTCGAAGTATACTACCGCATTACATGTCTGTTTAGTGGTACTTCCTTACTCAAAGTATACAATCGCATTACATAATGGTTTCGTTAGGGGAACTTTATCACTCAAAGTAATTCATTATATTGCATGTTAGTTTCTTATTTGAAAGATGGTTTCTGAACTTAGAATAAACCATCACATTACATGTTGGTTACTTATTTGAAAGGTGGTTTCCGAACTTAAAATAAAGCATCACATAACATGTTGGTTACTTATTTGAAAGGTGGGTTCTGAACTTGAAATAAACTATCACATTACATGTTGGTTTCATAAGATAGGGACATCCTGTGTCATAGTAAACCATCGCGTTTCTTCGTGATTCGATATTCAATGGTCTGTTTCCATGGTCACGAGTAGTAAACTCACCGACAAATTCCTAACATAGGGTTTCAAACGATGCATGTGGATGAAAATTTTGTTTTACGGTCTTCATTCCTCCATCAGAAACAGATGATGACAACAAACAGATAACGTCAAGAAAAAACCATAACAGAAACAAATGACGTCAACTATACCATAACAGAAACAGATGACGTCAACTATACCATAACAGAAACAGATGACGTCAACTATACCATAACAGAAACAGATAACGTCAACTATACCATAACAGAAACAAATGACGTCAACAATACCATAACAGAAACAGATGACGTCAACTATACCATAACAGAAACAGATGACGTCAACTATACCATAACAGAAACAGATGACGTCATACCATAACAGAAACAGATAACGTCAACTATACCATAACAGAAACAAATAACAGAAACAGATCAAACTATACCATAACAGAAACAGATGACGTCAACTATACCATAACAGAAACAGATGACGTCAACTATACCATAACAGAAACAGATGACGTCAACTATACCATAACAGAAACAGATGACGTCAACTATAACATAACAGAAACAGATGACGTCAACTATACCATAACAGAAACAGATGACGTCAACTATACCATAACAGAAACAGATGACGTCAACTATAACATAACAGAAACAGATAACGTAAAAAAAACCATAACAGAAACAGATGACGTCAACTATACCATAACAGAAACAGATGACGTCAACAATACCATAACAGAAACAGATGAAAAAATTATTTCATTATAATAATTTAATTTATCATATTAAGACCACACACTCCTTACGGTCAGCTATTCCAACTTTAGTTAAAGTCGTTAGAGTTATGTCCCTTGTATCTGTAGAGTTAACTCCCTTGATGTTCATTACGTCATAGCCGTGCATTCGCCATTTTGCAAGGTCAAGCTTAGGCAGCAAAGAGATCAGTGGACGTTTTAGTGAAAAAATATCCCTCCCACCCCTCCCGTTTTCATTTCAAATTCTGCTGTGCTTTTTGTTTTTGTGTCTTTGCAGTGACCTGGACATCAGGAACCTATCTGTCAAGACTTCAACTACACTCCTTGCAGTGGCTCAGTTTTTTGCACTCTGACAACAGATTGCTTATTATTTCCTGAATTTAATATTAATGCCTCACTTACTAGTTAACATCAGCTATTTTTGGAGGAATTTTCTGTACCCAGTTTCCTCCATTCTTATGCTGATTCAGTTGAAGTCATTGACCTATATTCGCCATCTATATAAAATATTGCATCCCTCAAAATAAATATGAACATAATCTGTATCAACTGTCTTGGTTATTTATTTAGTCTTCTATTTGATAAAAGACAAAGTTAATAATATGATAAACGAAAGACATGACTTCAACAATATCATAATTGAAAAGGATAATTCAATTTAGATTTTTACATTTTTCTCTAGATTTTGTAAAATATTTAGATGACTACCAACTAATTTTGATTCCTGTCATCAGTTTAGCTTAAAGAGAATAAGTTCACTAAGGAATATATATAAAACAAATTGTGAATTTTGGATAAATTTATAAACTATATATATCTTCTTTTAGTGTGCATGTAGAACGATTGGTCTGTTTATTTCTAGCTCAGGTCAACAACAGAATGAACTAGAGATATACTACGAAATTCAGCTTAGAAAACATATGTATATAAAATCATGTTTAATTTCAGGAACCTCATGCAAAACATCATCAAATGGAAATGACAACACCATAAAGAAAAAAACACGCGTGGACAACAATGCTGTTTCATCAGCGAATGACGCCATCAGAACGAATTCTGCCAGTACGAATGCTCACACAAATGACGCCAACGATAAAATTTCCTCAGCAAATGACGTCATCGGTACGAATGCTCACACAAATGACGTCAACGATACAATTTCCTCAGCAAATGACGTCATCAGTACGAATGCTCACACAAATGACGTCAATGAAACAATTTCCTCAGCAAATGACGTCATCAGTACGAATGCTCACACAAATAAGGTCAAGGATATGATTTCCTCTGCAAATGACATCATCGGTATGAATGCTCACACAAATAAGGTCAAGGATATGATTTCCTCAGCAAATGACGTCATCAGTACGAATGCTCACACAAATGACGTCAATGATACAATTTCCTCAGCAAATGACGTCATCAGTACGAATGCTCACACAAATGATGTCAATGATACAATTTCCTCAGCAAATGACGTCATCAGTACGAATGCTCACACAAATGATGTCAATGATACAATTTCCTCAGCAAATGACGTCATCAGTACGAATGCTCACACAAATAAGGTCAAGGATATGATTTCCTCTGCAAATGACGTCATCGGTACGAATGCTCACACAAATAAGGTCAAGGATATGATTTCCTCAGCAAATGACGTCATCAGTACGAATGCTCACACAAATGACGTCAATGATACAATTTCCTCAGCAAATGACGTCATCAGTACGAATGCTCACACAAATAAGGTCAAGGATATGATTTCCTCTGCTAATGACGTCATCGGTACGAATGCTCACACAAATGACATCAACAATGCACTTTCCACAACCAATGACGACATCAGTTACATAACTACAACTATTAACGTCAGCGACATCATGATCAAAAGAAAGGATTTCAGTGGATATTTACGTTCAACTGGAGCACAGTTTACCACTGTAACGAATACTCTACCACCACACTCCTCCTCAACAGGAAGTAAAGCCAAGAAGGTGATGTTATGGTTTAACATGCTATTGTTGACAAGGCTACTTCAATTATATATGTCTATCAATTCCAGAATATATTTTAGTCTATTCAGATGCGATAATGTCTAATAAGACATTTATATGGTTTATGTTGAAACTTAATATGTTAACTTGATTGTTAGCAGGGTTTGGATATGACTATCGTGGCAGTGGTTATAGGGATTGTGGCGTTATTCATCACGGCGTTAGTTATTTGTCAAGTAATAAGGTAAGCAGTGAGTGTATCTTTATACTATTTTGTCATCAGTTTACATAATCCATTATCAATAGATGGACACTTGAGTTAAAGTCCCATGTGACCTATTGCAACCGTCCGTTATGCATCAGCCATTGTGCGTCCGAATAAACACGTGGTCAATGTTACAGAAAGCCCTAAGAAAAGGCAAATGCCAATAGTACTGTCACCACCTTTAATGGGCCTTTTGTAAGGGGCAAAGTGGCTTCAAATTAACTTAAAATTCAAAAATCTCCTTCTCAAAACCCATATTGATTTCATTTTTAAAATTTTACAAAAATATGGTATATGTGGTAAAATATTGAAATGGTTCGCTTTGTATTGAATTAATATGTAATTATTTTCGCCCAAAGTTATGAAACGATCTTTCTCAAATTTCATCTAGAAGTGGTCACTCTATTTTCAGACACATCAGGAAAACAAATGACTCATAGAGGACTATATTTAACCTGCAGAGTTACAGTAAACTTCTCAAACTTTATGTGTAGGTTTCCCTGGTCATAAGGACCAGTAATATATTTGTTAGTTTATTTCTCAAACTTTATGTGTAGGTTTCTCCTGGTCATAAGGACCAGTAATATATTTGTTAGTTTATTTCTCAAACTTTATGTGTAGGTTTCTCCTGGTTATAAGGACCAGTAATATATTTGTTGTTGTTTATTTCTCAAACTTTATGTGTAGGTTTCCCTGGTCATAAGGACCAGTAATATATTTGTTATTGTTTATTTCTCAAACTTTATGTGTAGGTTTCCCTGGTCATAAGGACCAGTAATATATTTGTTATTGTTTATTTCTCAAACTTTATGTGTAGGTTTCTCCTGGTCATAAGGACCAGTAATATTTTTGTTGTTGTTTATTTCTCAAACTTTATGTGTAGGTTTCTCCTGGTCATAAGGACCAGTAATATATTTGTTAGTTTATTTCTCAAACTTTATGTGTAGGTTTCTCCTGATCATAAGGACCAGTAATATATTTGTTGTTGTTTATTTCTCAAACTTTATGTGTAGGTTTCTCCTGGTTATAAGGACCAGTAATATATCTGTTAGTTTATTTCTCAAACTTTATCTGTAGGTTTCTCCTGGTCATAAGGACCAGTAATATATTTGTTGTTGTTTATTTCTCAAACTTTATGTGTAGGTTTCTCCTGGTCATAAGGACCAGTAATATATTTGTTGTTGTTTATTTCTCAAACTTTATGTGTAGGTTTCTTCTGGTTATAAGGACCAGTAATATATTTGTTAGTTTATTTCTCAAACTTTATCTGTAGGTTTCTCCTGGTCATAAGGACCAGTAATATATTCGTTGTTGTTTATTTCTCAAACTTTATGTGTAGGTTTCTCCTGGTCATAAGGACAAGTAATATATTTGTTGTTGTTTATTTCTCAAACTTTATGTGTAGGTTTCTCCTGGTCATAAGGACCAGTAATATATTTGTTGTTGTTTATTTCTCAAACCTTATGTGTAGGTTTCTCCTGGTCATAAGGACCAGTGATATATTTGTTGTAGTTTATTTCTCAAACTTTATGTGTAGGTTTCTTCTGGTTATAAGGACCAGTAATATATTTGTTAGTTTATTTCTCAAACTTTATCTGTAGGTTTCTCCTGGTCATAAGGACCAGTAATATATTCGTTGTTGTTTATTTCTCAAACTTTATGTGTAGGTTTCTCCTGGTCATAAGGACAAGTAATATATTTGTTGTTGTTTATTTCTCAAACTTTATGTGTAGGTTTCTCCTGGTCATAAGGACCAGTAATATATTTGTTGTTGTTTATTTCTCAAACCTTATGTGTAGGTTTCTCCTGGTCATAAGGACCAGTGATATATTTGTTGTAGTTTATTTCTCACACTTTATCTTTAGGTTGAGATGTCAATAATTTGCATTACTGGTAATTTGTTCCGATCTTATTTTGTTTACCAGTTAATTTCTATGACGGTTAAAAACAGAAAAAAATCTTTATAAAAGTCAGGTGACCAATTATGCCATTGGGCTTCTTAGTTTTTGAGATTGTGAGGCGAAACACAATAAAGCAGTATAGTCCAGAACGAAAAGGTTACCATAGTGATATACACAAAAATTAATTAAACTTCTGCATGCGTCGTTCGGAACTTCCACGCTATTTGTTAGAAACTACCTAGCTGATATTTCTATCATTTAACATTTTCTTTAAGCAACAACAGTTAATTCTTTAAAAGTACATCAGTTTCTTTCATGAAACTTTAACTTTAATCCCCCCCCAAAAAAAAATAATTTGTGCCCCTTACATTTACATTTCGAGGAGAACACAAATCAAGATTATCAGCACGATATTGATTTTCTTAATGATATGATTGTTTTATTTTCCATTTTCAGAAAGCGCAGACGCCATCAGAAATATATAACAGAGTTTGAACTATCACTTCACAAATATGAGAAATTATAAGAGAACCCATCGGACTGCATTATAAGAACACTTGAGCTGTTTAATGCGATAGATTTCGTAAATCTGAAACAGACCTGATAAAAGTTATTTATTTTGAAATTACCTTCAAAATTCGTGATTCTGTTGATAGCGATTCTCTGGGAGTAACGACAATCTCACATTTAAATTAAAAAGAGTCTATAATAATGACAATGTTATATATTTTTAATGTTAGCCAGAACTAAGTGCCAGCTGGGACCCGTTTAAAAACCTGTATGTATGTTACATTACGTTGTTTCCGTACGATCGATCTTGACATGTAGAGGGAGCATTGCTTTGACATTGAGTAATTCGACGTTCTGATATTTACAATGATTTCTTGTGTTACGACTTGACATTCTGATATCTACAATGATTTCTTGTGTGAAGACTTCGACGTTCTGATATTTACAATGATTTCTTGTGTTACGACTACGACTTTCTGATATTTACAATGATTTCTTGTGTTACGACATCGACTTGACTTTCTGATATCTACAATGATTTCTTGTGTGACGACTTCGACGTTCTGATATTTACAATGATTTCTTGTATTACGACTCCGACTTTCTGATATTTACAATGATTTCTTGTGTTACGACGACTTTCGATTTCTTGTGTTACGACATCGAGACTTGACTTTCTGATATTTCTTGTGTTACAATGATATTTACAATGATTTCTTGTGTGACGACTTCGACGTTCTGATATTTACAATGATTTCTTGTGTGACGACTTCGACGTTCTGATATTTACAATGATTTCTTGTGTTACGACATCGACTTTCTGATATTTACAATGATTTCTTGTGTTACGACTACGAATTCTGATATTCACAATGATTTCTTGTGTTACGACTTCGACTTTCTGATATTTACAATGATTTCTTGTGTTACGACTTCGACTTGACTTTCTGATATTTACAATGATTTCTTGTGTTACGACTTCGACTTGACTTTCTGATATTTACAATGATTTCTTGTGTTACGACATCGACTTGACTTTCTTATATCTACAATGATTTCTTGTGTTACGACGTCGACTTCCTGATATTTACAATGATTTCTTGTGTAACGACATCGACTTTCTGATATTTACAATGATTTCTTGTGTTACGACTACGAATTCTGATATTCACAATGATTTCTTGTGTTACGACTTCGACTTTCTGATATTTACGATGATTTTTTGTGTTACGACTTCGACTTGACATTCTGATATCTACAATGAATTCTTGTGTTACGACTCCGACTTTCTGATATTTACAAAGATTTCTTGTGCTACGACTTCGACTTGACTTTCTGATATTTACAATGATTTCTTGTGTTACGACATCGACTTGACTTTCTGATATTCACAATGATTTCTTGTGTTACGACTCCGACGTTCTCATATTTACAATGATTTCTTGTGTGACGACATCGACTTTCTGATATTTACAATGATTTCTTGTGTGACGACATCGACTTTCTGATATTTACAATGATTTCTTGTGTGACGACTTCGACTTTCTGATATTTACAATGATTTCTTGTGTTACGACTACGACTTTCTGATATTTACAATGATTTCTTGTGTTACGACATCGACTTGACTTTCTGATATTTACAATGATTTCTTGTGTTACGACTACGACTTTCTGATATTTACAATGTTTTCTTGTGTTACGACTCCGACTTTCTGATATTTACGATGATTTCTTGTGTTACGACATCGACTTGACTTTCCGATATTTACAAAGATTTCTTGTGTTACGACTACGACTTTCTGATATTTACAATGTTTTCTTGTGTTAAGACTCCGACTTGACATTCTGATATTTACAATGATTTCTTGTGTTACGACATCGACTTGACATTCTGATATTTACAATGATTTCTTGTGTTACGACATCGACTTGACTTTCTGATATCATCAATGAATTCTTGTGTTACGACTCCGACTTTCTGATATTTACAAAGATTTCTTGTGTTACGACTTCGACTTGACTTTCTGATATTTACAATGATTTCTTGTGTTACGACTCCGACTTTCTGAAATTTACAATGAATTCTTGTGTTACGACTCCGACTTTCTGATATTTACGATGATTTCTTGTGTTACGACATCGACTTGACTTTCTGATATTTACAATGATTTCTTGTGTTACGACTCCGACTTTCTGATATTTACAATGATTTCTTGTGTTACGACTCCGACTTTCTGAAATTTACAATGATTTCTTGTGTTACGACTCCGACTTTCTGATATTTACAATGTTTTCTTGTGTTACGACTCCGACTTTCTGATATTTACAATGATTTCTTGTGTTACGACATCGACTTTCTGATATTTACAATGATTTCTTGTGTTACGACTTCGACTTGACTTTCTGATATTCACAATGATTTCTTGTGTTACGACTACGACTTTCTGATATTTACGATGATTTCTTGTGTTACGACATCGACTTTCTGATATTTACAATGATTTCTTGTGTTACGACTACGACTTTCTGATATTTACGATGATTTCTTGTGTTACGACATCGACTT